TTCATAATTCACTTTGCAAGCAAGGTACAGAGAGAGACAGACATGACCTGGAATGCTCTGTATCTCCTCCAGCTCTGCCCTGCCAAAGCAAAGGTCCCACTCCTCACCTCACTCCCTTCCCTGCTCCATCACCTCTGTCCTAGAGTGATCATTCAGTGCTCAGCTACTGATGAAAAGGGAAAATTCATAGCGTTTTTTAGTAAAATATCTTTGTAGCAATCTTGTCAGTACTACATCAACTCTTCTTACTCACAGCAGATGCACAGTAACAACTGCACATGACATTGCACAGCATCAGTGACTGAGGCTGCCAAAAAACAATAAAACACGTTAAGAACAACTCTATTTTCCCCTTTCATGACAGATCTCCTTAATTGACTACTTTGCTGCCAGAGAGCATTAATGAATGAGAGAGAAATGGGCTTTCTTTTTTATTAATACCTCTATTACATTCTAATCTATCAGGTTAATTTCTTGTTAATGAAAGTGACGATTAAAAGCCTCAGTTGCTGCAAGGGTGGGGACAGGGACTGAAGCTCCATGAGGAGCTCAGACACGCTGGACCACGGCTGGGTTTGGAGATCGGATGCTGCAGAAAGGCAATGCCCGGGGGGAGGAGCGCAGCCAGAGCCCAGGTGGGGCTGCTGTAGGCAGCTCCCGTCTGTCTGTCGAGGCACCGGAGCCACAGGAGCAGCATCCCCCACCCGTGGGACCCGGGGGCTGCTCGGGCTGTGCGGGGCAGGAGGGAGGAGCAGGTTGACACTGCGACTTCGCTGAAAGGGGAACGAAAACCCCGAGCTCGGATCGCAGCTGCCGCCTGCACACAGCCCTGCTACCCCTGCGCTGCTGCTCCCGAGGGGACAGGGACACACCGGGGACAGGGACACGGAGCAGGGGGGACAGGGACCCGCGGGGGAAGGATGCCGTGTGCGGGCAGCAGGCGGAGCTGGTGCCACAGGGACGGGCGGGACCGGCCCCGCAGTCCCCGCACTCCGCCCAGCGCAGCCGCGACACACGGGGACAACAGAAACACAACAAACCTAACTATTATAACAAATTTTTAGAACACCACCAATAACACCAAAAATAACCATAACAACAATAATCTGGAAAACGTGGAAAAGTCATGAGGTGGAGGGACAATAGAGGAGGTGACATCAGTGCTCCAGCCCTGCACAGGTGACCATGGCCCCCATGACACACGCTGGCTCAGCCCGGGCAGGGCTGGAGCTGCCACACTCACCTTCAGCAAACGAGACTATTTCTGGTTTGTGCTCCTGTCAGAAACATGAGATTTCTGAAACATATATTTTCCTCTACCAAGCGGCTGCAAAGCTTTGTACTGAGCACAGGGCACGGCACCAACACAGGTGAAGAGAATCAAAGTCCCACCCCAGAACCAGCGGTGGAAATCTGGGAAGACTGGTAGGACTGCCTCAGGATTTACCAAGGCATTCATGGAAGCTGAATTTGGCCCAGAATTGAGGAAAGAAGAGCGCTTTCAGCATTTGCTTCCCCGAAAGAATCAAGCTTGCCAGCTTCTTTTTAACATGAGAGGCTGAGCCTGTGATCTCGCTGACCCCTGCAGGGGTTTCCTGGCTGCCTGCCCGCCAGGACTGGGGAGCAAGGGAACACCCCCTGCCTTTGTGCCTGTCCTGGCATCAGGGAGTGCTCCCGCTGCTCCCAGGCAACTCATCCCTGAGAAATACCACTGTGCTTGCTTCAGAGGAGACAAAAGACACAATTTTTGTTGCCAGGGGCTAAACAAAACAAAACAAAAAAAGCAACAGCAGTCAGCCCTTCAGATTGTGTTAAAGTGACCCCAGAGCAAGTTCTGCTTCTTCTGACCCCCACTGCCCACTGCTCCCTCTCTCAGCACACACCCTGCTCCTGCAAGAACAGAATTCCTCCCTCCATCACCCGGCCTGTCCCAGTGACCCAGGAGAAAAGCCTTTCAGTTCAGACGGGACTGTTCATCCTCATCCCTTGTGAGTACATGGCAGCATCTCTGTCCCCTCTGGGAACAGGGTCACCCAGTGGCTCACAGGAGTCCCAGGGCCATGTCTCTGCTCCTGGGCATGGCACTGCCTGGCACAAAGCAGGATCCCACTGCCCCCAACATGTGCACACCTCAAAATCTCAGTTAATCAATGGCCACCTTGGCTGCTGTCCATCAAAGGAACCAGCAGCTCAGTATCCATAGCACCATTACCCCAGGGGTCACAGCCATTCCCACCAGAGTGAATTCTTCATACCAAGCTCGACACACACCAAAGGTAAAAACCCCACTGCATTTCCCTTCATTCAGTGTTGTGATGCCATGATCCTCTAAGCATAACTTGTCAAACTCCCTCTCCAGTTTCCCAAGGCTGTTTTCCCCAGTGTGCTTTGCTGGGAGCAGCACACGGGATGGGAAGCCCTGGCTGAGCTCACTGCCAGCCCTACACACCTCATGCATCCATTCTCTCTGGCTGCTTACCAGGAAGCTCTTCTCAGGGTGTTTGGGACACAGACCTTCAGCAGACCCTGCCAACCCGTGCTCCTAATCAGTTTTTAAAAGCCTGAAAGAAATGGCACAGTGTGCAAGGAAGAAGTATAAAACAGAGGCTACAGTGATATGAACAGTCTGGCAAATGTGAATTTTTGCCTTCCACAACTGAATCTGTCCACAGAGAAATGTGCCCTCTGACCTAACACACCTTGCACACTTGCCTTTGTAATACAGAATTTGTACTAGATATATCCTGTGCTTAAAATACATGGATTTTACATGCTCACTATTAGAAGCAGTATTTTCAGAGTCATTTTCCTTTGGCTTGAAGCCGTTTTCCATGATCTGTTGCAGACAGATGAAACCTGTCCCCTTTTTTCCCCCAAAATGATGAAGCATTTCCCCCAGGCTAGATACTGACCTTCTGCCTCTTTCTTTAGGTAAAATAAGATTATGCTAAGTAGTCGCATTCAAGTACCTTTGGCAGGAGACAGTAGAGAGAAGGACATGAAATCTCTCTTTAAAGCTGTTTCTTCCAGTAATCCCACTTCTGCTTTAATTCCCAAATTCATGATTATGTCACCCATGCCCACTACAGGTCTGTAACTTGGTGTTTTAGGGAGCACTGCCCTGCTCTGAGCTCCCTGCTCTCCCCACATGCCTCCAGCCCACCCTCACACACACCACAGCAGAGGAGCCAGCCCCTGCCAGCTCCTCTTGGCTGCTTCCCTCTAGAGCAGACATTTTCTCTGAAAAGCCCTACTGAGTTTCTGGTGCTAGCAAAGGCTACTTAAGCACCCTCGTAGTGTAACACATCACAGCAGAGTTCATTAGAAAGCCCACAATTTTTGCAGAGCTGGTGAAAACCTGGGAGATGTTTGTAAGTGTCCAGTGAATTAAGTGTTCTGTTCTGCAGGTTTTGGTCCCCAAATTGAAGGGTTCATGAGCATCACTTGGCAGGGCAGCACTTGTTGGGAGGGCCCAGAGCAGGGACTTCCCTATATTCCCACCAGAATTCAGATACATTTAAGGAAGAAAATACCTCTTTGTTGTACTGTTTGGAAGGTAAGTATGATCAGATGTGGCTTTTATTTGAATAATTTCACTCCTTATTCATATTCTTCCCACCTCTTTCCCTCTGAGATTTATTTAATTCTACTTGAGAAAAAAACTGATCAAGAGGGGAGTTATTCCAGCATTTGTTGATGCTGAATCATGACTTCATTTCTCCCGTCCTTTTTACTCTTGAGGATTTAGCAATTCCCTCCAAGACTCTTAACTTCTCTTGTATTCTGTTAATTAAAACCCAGCTAGGATTGCCAGCTAATTGCACACTGGTTTTATAAAGCCTGGCCTGTTGCTGTGTTTATTTTGTGTCACATGAATAGGCAACAGCAGGTTTTACTGGCACTTCTCTTCAAGTGTGTGTCTTTTGCATGTACTGTGCTGAGTTGGGAAAAATGCCTCGCTAGAAATATTTTTCCTGAGAAATATTTAAAATAATACTCTTATGTTCCAAATCTTGCATAAAATTGACAGCATTGATAGATTTTAAATACCAACAACAGAGGAAGCAAGAAGGAACACAAAGGAACACCAACATAACCACTGTGACCGTGCCACGACAAGACCATGCCTGGCAAGGGATGGCGAGTCCCCATGGCTGGGGGCACCCAGCTGCTTGGGCAGCTCAGACAAGCTGCACCTTCAAAACCCACCTTAAGATGTCACTGTCTATTTTTTAGCATCTTAGAACAGCTGTAGGTGTCATATGGCTTATTCCCATTCACTGCACAACAAACCCCTCACCTACTGTGCATTAAAAAAAAAACAACAACATCTTTCTGTAAATACAGTGTTATTTTTCCTGCAGCCTCCTAAGCATCCCTCCATGGAAATTCAGTGTCTGCCTCAGTGATCCCTAGCGGGGTGTCACAGCTACAGAGGTACACCCTGAGCAGCAGCAGCCACAGTACATCCTAAAGCGCTCCGCTGTCCTTTGGGAAGGGCGAGTCCATCTGGCACGTTTGGTTTCCGTCATATAAAGAATTCCTCCTCCTCCTGGTTCTCCTCTCGGTGTGCAGGGCCGGCCCACGCTGTTTGCGGAGCTCCGTGCTCTGCTCTGCTCCTTCTGGATGCGGCTCGCAGCAGCCGCGTCCCGTCCTGGGCGGGCCGGGCAGCGCCGGTGCCGGTGCCGGTCCGGGGGGATGGCAGGGGCTGCAGGCTGCTCCCCGGGGTCCGGGGGGATGGCAGGGGCTGCAGGCTGCTCCCCGGGGTCCGGGGGGATGGCA